AGGTGGTTCATCAACAAGTTGTGAGTCTTGATTCCAAGGAAACGAATTCAACTCCACTTCAGTGAGTGGACAAATCAATTCCTCCTTGGTGTTGTTGTCCGGCAGAACGGCAGGCCCACTCCCAGCAGACTTGGAGCAATGTCCAGATGAACGTTCATGCGCAGCCTCCAAAACAGAGATGGACATATATATATATATATTCCAATATGGTAAATCCTGGCCTAGTCTAGAGTGTGAATCTTCAAGTTTTTTGCAATGTCAGTCACATTCATGAATTCCAGCCTCAGTAGCACCTGGATACTTACCAAAAAACTCTCGTATGCGCTCAGAATATGGAATGAAGCCTGCCGTTGCCTAGCATGGAAAGGTTCTTGTCTTGAGCAAACTTAAGCTTGTTTAGATGCACCAAAACCCAGCCAGCACACCACACCTGAGATTCAGCAACTGCTGCAGTTCCCTCGTCCTCGCAATCCATTTGGGAGTCATTCACCTGCAGGCAGGACAAATAATTTCAGAACCACTTGGCCTTTGTCCACTCGGGTACATATGTGTTTCTCGACTTGTCAGTTGGCACTAGCCATGGCACTAATCATTCACACTAGTCACTAGTCTGGCAAAAAAAATCATGCTTTTGACCCCACAGACACACACCCACACACCCTGATCACACAGCATACACCCCAAAAGCCTCCACAGCAGGTGCAATCGTGTCCACAGCAGAGGCAACCTTGGATGGATACCCCAACTTGTGTCATTGGCTTTGCAGGTGCAGAAAAAACATGTTTGACAGCACATGCATGGACAAGTAGCTGCTACACCCTCAGAGTGGGGCATAGAATCTTCTGACTTCACATGTACAGGAACTGCCACCCCAGGTACAACATCACTATAGTGAGCTACATGTGTCACAGAAATGATGATCGGCTCATCATCGTAGTCCACATCCAACTCCATGAGATCCTGCCAAAATGAATGGACAAATGTATGAGCCAGCAGCTAGCTGAGCCTGCAGCATCCACACACACTCTCATTCACACAAACCTGTCCGTCACACATACCATGTCCACTAGGTTAGACTAGCCAGGGCCTCAACTGCCTCCTCCGGTGGTGCCAATACAAGCTTCGCGCTTGCAGCCTTAACACAGCTAGTGGGTTTCAAGCTCTTTATTCACTTTTGCAATACACACGCGAGCAATATGCAAGAATTAGATTGGACACACCCTCACCTGCTCCGCACGAATCTTTCTGAACTCCAGGACTATGTTCTTTAGGACTTTGACCTTCTCACTCCTGCACACAGGTAGCCCATGGCCAGTAAGGAAGATTGAAACATGCATTTGTTGTCCATTAGCATTGCCATCATAGAAAAAGACAACAGATGCATTGACCTGACATGTTTAAACTCCTGCTTTGTGCAGTGCGGTTTGTCAACCCAATGACATACATCAGTAATTTTCTCAGTCGTGTCCCCTCAGTGTTCGCCCAATCCTCAGTCATTGTCCAACTAGCATCTGTATATATACACATGTACAGAAAAGTTCTGTCATACCTGTCAGATCAAATATAGGTTGAAGCGTAGGAAGGAAAGCAAAGAACACCATCAATATTTTGGACCAAGATTCACGGATGTAGCCTTTTCCACCCCTCCGCCCGTGGTAGTCAGTGTGAAAGTTCGATCGTAGTGAGAGCAAGAGGAGGGCACCCTGCAGGATGATATGTTTTTAGTGTGGGTGGCAACATGCAAATAAACAAAGTCTGACCAGCAGTGTGTGTACATGTTGCAAACCAGCCTCGAACTCGGCAAGGTGCGGAATCTCTTTCCCATTGAATAGGGAATTGGTCAGTGTTTTCTCACAGCAGGACAGGATGAGTTCCTTCAAGAGTGTAAAATTCTGCTCTATATCATTCTCCCTCTCTGTCACGATCTGACCAGTTTACCAGGGCCCTATCAGGTGACTGCATAATGGCTGGCCCATGACGGACACCAAACTTCTGCAGAGAGTTGAAGATGTGAAGCCCAAGTGCCTGCAGTAGAAACACAGTCCATGAATTTTTACTATCTTGACTAGTCAAATACAGCTCATATTACAAGTAGTTAATACGAGGGACTGTGACTCGAAACCTCATGGGCTTGGTCACGTGCAAGTCATCCCCCTGCATTTCCTCTTCAACAATTGGTGCTGCTCTGGGCATCAGTGCAACCAGCCAGCCAGCAAAGCCGAGGACACTGGTCAGCTTTGAGATGATTTGAGCCAAGAAGTTCTGAACGTCGTGCAGCACTTGTGCATAGACATCTTGCAAAGCACTGTTTCAAAAGAACACTTCACAGTGGACAGTGGGCAGAGGGGTTCTCACCTTTAAGAGCACGTTGCCGCAAAAGCCCCATGGCCGGCACGGATCGATGGAAAAAAATATATATATCACCAATTGAAATCTTCAACGTACTCCATATCATATGGTTTGCTAGCCCCATATTCAGGATGTCACTGGAAAACCTACAAGGGCCTACAGCCTATAGGCTGATTCCCATAATGAACTTTCCTTTGTATCGACAGATGTCACAGTATCATATGGCCTATCACTGTTCCTGCAGCAAGTCATAGCAATCGACAGCAGCAGTGGCCTGAAAAATGGAGGGCAATGGCAGGGATTGGATTGAGAATGGTCAGGGGTAAGTCTAACTTCCCACCAGCACGGTCTTGGACTTGTTGTCGCTTGAAGACAGTGCTGACAGGGTTTTGTTCCAGTCACCCGCTGACAAGCTACTTTCGGAATCACTTGCTCACAGACAACTTGGATCTCTAGGGATAAGAACATCTCACTGCTTCGTAGAATACAGCGTCGTCCAGTTCATGTATCCACCATAGATCAGTCATGTGTCCACCATAGAAGGCGACCGACGAGGCCTACTTTCATTCGCCACCTCTGTGCAAACGGCTTTCAGCAACTTCCTTTTGAACTCTGGCAGAAGTGACGGGTATTCGTTTGCCCGTCGGAAAAGAAAAGACCCCGGATGAGATCAAGATCTGCATCGATCACCCGACGGATCGGTCAGACAATGATCGAAGCCAATGATCGAAGCCCAATCTGGCGTGGCCTTCCTCCAACAATCATGGAAGTGGACAAATATGTTGTCCATGTTTTGAATTTATATGTTGTTGTATGTCTTTGCTTTGTTGTTTGTTCTTCCACGGTGCCTGGGAGGCGCCATATTACACCGTACCCATATCTGCTGATAGAGGAAAGTCATCTTCCAACAGGCCACTTTTCCCATGATGCTTGGAGCACAAACACCATATGGTGTCGATCGCTCTCTGAACAAGCAGAGTCTCGGCACACATTTGTCACCCAGCCACATCACAAAGGTTCTTTGAGCTGGTATTTGCCTGCATCAACCACACACAGTCAAAAGCACATCAAAAACAGTCTCTCCTGCACAACATCTCAAGCAACATCATACACACACTTTGCTCAAGCACAGCTATAGGCCAGGGTGTTTTTTCTGAGAGATGTGCCGATGTGGCAACTCAAAGGGGTATGGATCACAACCACGGCTTCTCGACACGCGGATTTCTCCCACGTCCCGCAACTGTACAGTGCAAAATAACGTTGAACGCTAGCTACTAGCGCATTCCTCCACCAAGAGTTCCGAGATGTTCTTTTTGCGTTGCGTCCCAGAGTTCTCCCCACACCATTCCAGTGGCTTCGTCAGCTTATCAAGTCTATACCCGACTGTTCAGACTGAACAAACACATCCAAAAAAGGGGCGTTCACCCCTGGTGTTGAGACACGCCGGCATCCAGAAACCTCAGATTTGGTGGGCTGGACTCACATTCGCTTCAACCGCCTGGACTCATATTGCAGGCTCCTCCAGCGTCTCTTAGCCTCCTGTGGTGTACAGAAATGGCACTTTCTGCACTGGTCGCCAAAGTGACATCGAACTTTCTCCTGGGAAGGAGTGCAAGAGTCTTGGAATCTGGAGAGACATACCTTCCCGTGGTTCCAAAAATCTTCTCGTTGGAGAGTGGTGCCCATAAACTATTTTTGGGGGGGCCTTTTCTTTTCACCCAAGCATGGAACTCCTGGTCGCTTTGTCCGTTTTTGTTGATGTCTTTACAGTAAGGTTGACGGTTAGCCACTGCTACAAGAGTCAATAGACTTACTATATAACTCTGACCGCCTGAATCACAAGGTCCACTTCCATAAGTTTTGTTGCCCCTCCCCCTCAACAAACACGGGAAAACTGATGTCTATATAGAGTCTATATGGAGTTCAAGAAACGACCCTCAAAAAGGCCGAGGCAAAAAAACCAAAAACACCACACTGAGCCTAGCCACTCCAAAGTAGAATCTGCAGGGCTCACATCGTCCTGCGGCATGCAATTCCAATGTCCCCATTGCTCTCATATCTGGAGCAGTCACGGATGGCTTCGTCACTGGAAGCATGGTTTCAAGCTGCAACGCCACAACTGTGGCACGCGTCCCGCGCGCGTTTTCCACGCCGTCCTCGCTTCTTCTCCCTTCATGCGCCGCTCGGGCTCGCCCGGTGCACGGAGGCGCCGACCCAGCTCGCCCGCTGCACGGAGGCGGTATGGGCGGTGCCGAGCTTTCTGCGGTGAAGTGGAGGAAGGTCTTGTGAACCGACACGGTGCAGCGGTCTTCGTCGTCCGGACGAAAGGTCAGGACCACGTGCCCTTCTGGGGGCCAGCGGAAAAAAGCCGACATGCCTTTGAACGCGTAAGCCCAAACTTGGCTTGAACCAAAGCTCGAAGATGCTAGTGTCGCACCTGGTCCATTTCGGCATTCCTTTGCTTGATCCAAATTACAGTGAGTCAAAGTTTGGTCATGCCTAGGATTTCTGACAGCAATTCTCCAATCTTCACCAGCTCTGTCTTCATGAGATTTCATGAATGCATGCAACCCTATTGTGGCCGGATCGTGGAGTTGCTCACGGAAAACACAGAAAAATCCGCCGGATCCGCTGTCTTTCAGCCAATCATCATCAAGCTGAAGAAATGCAGGGCCCAGCGCCAGTGTCCAGTCTTCTCCACCGAACTGATGGTGCCGCTGTAGACATACACCTCAGATAAGAAGCGCTTAAGACACCGGCATCTCTTGACGAGTTTGAAGCTCCAATAAAGGGTCTCACAGGTTGAACATTTAATGTATAATCAGGTGCAATATTTACCTCTGAGTGTTTGTAGTTCATGGGCCTGTTGTTACGGTAAATCTCACGCAGTCATCCTTCTTTTGTTTTTCCACCAGGGCCCACAGGGCGGGACAAAGTACCAGTTGGTCGTACCTCGTTTTTGTATGTTTTTGTTTTTTCTGACCCGGGTCAGCTTCCATGTTGGGTCAGGTACCAAACGGGTCCAGGTAGATCATTGTTGTTATCAAGTTGCAGCACCAACCCCCGAGTGGAACGGCCCGGTTGTTGCAAACCTCTTCCCTGGTCGCATCGCCAGGTCGTCACACCTGGCGTGAGCCTTGAGCTCGGCACTGACCGGCAAGGAAATATCATGAAACGCGGCCCTGGGCAAGTGCTTCTGCGGCTGCGCTAGCCAAGAATGTTCCGATACTTTCAGAACAAAATGCACATGTTGGGATGGATTGCTCAGTGACGAGGAGGTGGTGTTGTGTTGAGTGAAAAACATGCTTGCTGCGCGGTATCCAAGTATACAGCAACTCCTCCTGGGTTGCATGAGGAGGCGCCTTTGCGTGCTAATTTTGAGGCAAGACTTGGGATGACTTGAATGGGTGCACAAACGCCTGTCAACACGCCGCGACATGTCTCGTCTCGGATGCTTGACTCTCTTGTGTAGCTCCTTTGAGACTCGAGGAAAAGCAACCTGAACCCATGCTGTCTTGTGATGTTGCACGTTTAGGAGCGGAGTGATACTCTTGATACTTGCCACAGACGTCATTAGCATTCATTAGCGCACAACCATCCACAGTCCCAACCCACCCTAAATCATCCTTCCTTGTGCAACCGCATGAACAGAACGGCAGCCTTCAAAGGATTCTTCGCACCACGGTCCGGTCCTACTCTGATCGACCGAGGCGCGTCTGGCTGCGGAGACTGTTGGAACACCTGGAGCGCCATGAGCCACTGAGCCGATTTCTCGCAGGAGCTAATGAGGGCGCTGAAGCTCACCTGGGGCGCGCCGCCCGAAAAAGCCAAGTCGACGCATGCGAAGCTTGAATTAGTCAACCCGCTCTTCTCAACCCGGCTCTTCTATATATATATATATGATCTATGTCTATATATTACTGTATATATAGTGGAACTAGGCTGATTTTCCGACCTCCCCGTTTTTGGGCGGTTCGGTGCTTGACATCGGTGGTTCGATTTTTCTGGGAGGCTGTCTCTCATCGCTCTCATGTGGGGGGATGGAGCCCGAAGCTAGGGCTTTCTTGCGACTTTCAAACGGGTCAAGCCGGAGCGTGCATTGCTCATGGACTCATGGATTGCTTTTGATGGATAATATCTGCAAAACATCGGCGCAAGCTGGCAACAATCCGGAATAAGTGCTGGGAGGAAACATAAAACAACACGCACACAGACATTAAGCAGCTGATCTATACATACCCAGACACTCCATGCATGGAATATGTGCCTACATTCACCACAAACCAGCCCAATGTAGGCATAGATATGCCAGTCCCATGGAGTGTCTGGGAGTCAATATGAGGGCATTTGACCACAATTCGAGGGTGCCGTCCACATTTCAGGCAGGCCAAAAACCTGCATTGCTGGATGACCAACCATCAGATCTTCAATATCCATAAATGCATGCTTGCGATCAGTACCTTGCACTTCTTGTGACCTCTGGACAATCAACATCCACCAACCTCTTCAGCCACCAAAACAAATCATAATATTTATCAAAGGCTTCGGTCATATATGGATGGTCCTATGGACTCAAACGGGCGTACTTTCCAACGTTTCAGGGCTACGTCCGAAGCAAAGGATGCATGTTGGCCAAGCAGCAGCATTTGGCTGCACTCGTGCGGAGAGCATCGCTTGAAGCAAGCTCAGTGCCTGTTGCCAGTCACCAGTAGGCTCCTTGGCATTTGTTCAGTTCCAAGTCTCTTCGAACTGGATCCTCAACCTTCTCCAAATGGGCACAAGTCCTGTTTTGCTGTTTTACTGTTTTACGATGTTTTGAGAGGGTCATGTCCCATTTTCTGTACCAGGTAGTCCTGATTTCTTCGCAATTGGAGGTGATCCTCCCACGAATCGCACGGCCCTTTTCCGGGCGGCACCGCGACACCCCCGCGTTCGAACAGCCTAGGGATCCAGTCGTAGCTTCCCAGAAGGCTACACAACAGCGTCTCCGATCACCTTCTGAGAAGGTACAACTGGACCCCTAGGGACTCATACAGAAGCTCAACAAAACACGTCGGCAACAGAAACAGTCGACGACCGAGGCACGATCGCTTGGTCCGTGCTCCCCGTGCGATGACTAAATCAATGACTCATCTGTTTTGATTGATTCAAGAGTCTACATTGCCTGGCAAAGTCCATCTACTAATTGATTTACGGACCACTATCAAGCACAATGTGTACCTGGACCGACTTCATTCGTACCCTAGACAATGGGACATGACCCAATAAAAAAGTGTATGACTGGGGCCGCATTCTCCGCGGTACGAACTGAGACTCCAATGGTTTTAAAAAGTGAATGCATTGAGAAGCCCGACACAGCGGTTGACCTCTTCAATTATGTGGCGCCAATAGCACGACATGAAAGCCCCGGCGGGTGGGAACTGTTTGTTCCACAAGCTTCTTGTGGACACAAGAACTTGCAATTTCAGGATTTGCTAGCATCTGTGCTCCCCCAATACACTCCCCGTTTTCATATTAATGACCATGGATGCTGTTTCCAAAAGCAAGCCATTTCGGCTAGGTGAGTGTCGTGTCGTGTCGGATCTCTCAACGAGGTCGGAACAAATACTCACACCGCCCTAAAGGTCAGGGATAAATGCACCATCTCATTGAAACGCTGATCAATGGTCTCAAAACAAACTGGTTTACAATGGTTTACATGTGCAAAGGAAACAGAAGAACACACAGACTTCTTCGCACATACAGACTTGAGCCAAAAGTGTTATCCCTTCATACTATGAAGTAATGGGGAATACATATACCGTATAGGATCGTGTTTCTTCTGATCGATGTTTTTTGTTCGGACAAACGAAGATCATATTCCAGTTCCAACCACTATACCCAATAGCCCCTCCATGAGCTAGGGCTCAAAACAGCTCATCGCTGCACTGTAGCACACCACGTTTGGAATGACTTCCGCTTGCACCATCCCTTGGAACATAGCGATCGAACATGCAGCACATTGGTCAGAGAGGTTTTCCACCTGTTGCCGTGTGTTCCTTTTTGGTGGGATCACCTTATCCCACTTGATTCGTGTTGAGTGTACAAAAAAAACACGAGATACAAGTTGGCAATGCCACTGACTTGTTGGGATCATTTGAAGGCTTATCTCACTTGTAAGGTAGGAAGCCTACAGTGGTTTCAAAGCAAATTGCACAATTGTTCGTATGGACCCCTCATATAAAAGACATCTCTCTGAAACCAGTGTATATATATATATAATTTTGGTGGTGCCATGAGAAACTCTCAAGGCCCAGAGGCGCCAGCAAGTTGTCCCAAGATCAGAGCTTGGGCCCAATCAAATGAATCAATCAAGTCTTTGGAAGCACAAGTGGATGCCTCGTATTGGTCGGTGTTGGGGTAAGATTTGGATGTACCCCATTACCAGCAACAGTGGATCAGAGATGGTCAGTAGAGAGCTTGTTCAAAAACAGTGATCATATGTCATAAAATCTCATACATATATGATGTACATCGTTTACCGGCAGTTACTGTTAACGAGACAAACCCAACCGGTAAGATCATTGGACTCAGCGGCCGGGGGCCGACGAGAACAACGCAACCGCTCACGGTCTGATCGGCGCAGCGCCTTTCGACCGAAAGACAGGCCCTGGGAGTCTATTTAAACAACGACATGTTTGTTCATGACCCGAGTGAAGCGACAGTTCCTGAAACCTGACAACGAACGGTCCACATCTCGAACTGGACTCCTCTGAAGAGTCTGGAAGGTCTATTGAGATCCCAATCGAAACAAATGAACGATTTCGATGTCACTGACTCTGATGTCCTGTTCCCAGCCACTCCATGGGACTGCCATATATGCCATAGGACTGCCGATCAGTTGGGGTGGTTGACCTGGGGGTCAATGGGGCGGCATCTATGGCAGTCCCATGGGTCGTGTCTGGGGTTTAGACCCTTTCTCGCGATGGACGTTGGCCACATCTAGCTGTGATCGAGCAAGAAGGTAGGCGCCAGTGGCCGGCGCAGCCCTGCTTTGGAATAAAAGGACAAGGTGTCTTCTACCAAGACATGCCGTGCCCATCCAGGCCAATAGATGTCCTATATAGGAGTACAGCCCTGCCTAGTAATAGAGCAGTCCAGCCCGGTGAGTGAAGAAGCCTCTTTGATAGCGATTTTGGGCCACTCAACTACCAGTACTTCTCATCCCCGGCGTATCCTCTTGACCTCCTCTTCATCGCTCAGCAGCTTGAAAACAGCAAGTCGAGGGCGGCTGGCCACTGCGAACCCTTCTGACATGCAGAGATGACTCCGCTGTAGCCTCACGTGGCGTTGTGTCGCGCAGTTGCGACACGTGGAGTTGCGCGCAACGCGCGACCCTGACCTGCCTGCAATAAGGTCTCACATGTTCCAACAGGTGACATCCAACAGGGTCGTGTTTGTTGGGCACATTGGGACCCACGCTGTTCTTTAAATATGATCTTCCAGCAGTCTGACTTCCTACCTCGCGTCCAGGGTTTTCCTCTATGATCCGTTGAGGCAATGCATGGGTTAGTTGAGTGTTTCTTTGTTCATGAGCTGGTGATTTAGTCGCAGCAAACCAAGGCCTCTTACCTGCACCAGGAAACTTCAGATTCCTGCACCACCCAGTTCGCATGGTTATTGTATGGACAATCCGTTATCTTCGGGCCAGGGGGGTCTATAAACCAGACGACCTGGGTGGTGCTGGCGTATGAAGCTCCAAAAACGCTTCGGTTGTCTGATGCGAACGGTGTCGGTACGTCGCCATGAAACTGTAGATGTTGGGCACCACCGACGCATGCAGCATCTGCTGAAAAAGCTCCAGTGATCTCTGCCTCAAAGCGGCGCATAGCGCGTGTCGCGCCAGGCGCATCGGCGCTGCGCATGAGGGCATTGACTTTCCGAGACTCTTGGGGACGAAACATTGAGACCATTACCAGAAGTTGAGATAGGGTCAGGATCTATAGAATTACTCATGTTAGTACTCATTTGAGGGATAAACCAGATGTTCATTGTTCTCCACGTCCGGACATGGGGGTTGGACCAACAACTAGAAAAACATGGCATGTTGTCACCGTGTTTCATCTTCCAATGTCAAAGCAACATCCAGTGTCCTCAGCGTCCCGCTCGTGAACCACATGGCAGGTTGTGCCAAACCCTGGAGACCTGCAACCATACACAATTCACATATACAGTGATATAGGTTCGCATTTAAACGACATGTTTGAGCTACTTGTTCAGTCGCTCTGCGGCTCTGCCAGGAAAACCCAACTCGTCATGTTGCGCACGGAGGAAAACCAGACTGGATCTGGGGCATGAAGCTTAGTGCTTGGTGAGTGGAAAGGTTTCTATTATACGTCCGTGCAGGCTCTGCGGGTCTAGCCCTTCGGGTCTAGTCTGATACAGGACAACTTGGTCCTGTAAACATCTGTTGTCACCTCACGTTTGTACATTCTACAGTACCTTCATGTCGGGGTCTCCAATTGACTACCCGACACCACCTGTGGATGCCCATTGAAGAGCCCTTTGAAGGTCCATACTAACAATTTTCTTTAAAAAAAGATACGGCACAATTTATGCAACTGTCGGCTTGTTCAGTTCTACAAGTCACAATAGGCGTGGTTCAACAGCTACGACCGAATACTCAAAACAAAACACACAAAATAACGTATAACATACCTGGACCCTCCAAGTCGTACCGAAAACAAAATGGTATAGACTTGTACCAGGCAGTTCCTTCGAACATTGTTTTCTCTTTGGGAATTTGAAATCTATTTCACGCACATCACATGCACAGGCACACACACACATGGCTGTGTTTCAAGGGTCAGCTCAATTTTAGCCAACGGCAGTTACTGAAAACTGACCTCTCTGTCTCTGACATCGCCAAAGTGCCAATAGCTCGCCCTTTGGACAGAACTCATCACAGCGCTAAAGGTCACCACATCCGGCAGAACCCTGCCCAGCAAGAGCCTGGTCGCCGGGAGGCTTGATGATTACCTCAACCTCATCTGCACTTCGCAGTTATATATATATCCCATGTCCAGACCGATAGATTCTCTCCATCCAAAGGTGAAGCCAAATCAGATTGGGAGAGGTGAGAGGCCCCAGAAGGAATGTCTCGGGCTGAGGGAGGCAGCACAATCTCCGTGTCTTTCTTTTGACTGAATCCTACCAGCACCATCCAATAGGGATTTCCGATGGAGCACCCTACACTACTTAGGGATTTGAATTGGACACCCACCCGATATGGATGGTCCTGGTACTTCACTTTTGGGTCCTCCAACTTCCTCTCCGGACCGCCTGTGGAAGAAGTCCAACGACCTCTGCCAGGAAAATGACAAAGAGCTCAAGGTGCTGTTATAACCTTAGAGAACACCACGCCCAAGGATTCCTGGCCCACCATTCATTGAGCAGGCTGTGACCTGGGAGCCCCTTTGGGTTTTCTGGGAGACGGTTTTTTGAAACAGAAGACAGGGAGGCTGCCAGCCCCAAACAGTCTACTCGGACCTGACTTCAAGTACCGTGACATGACCCTAGAAAAGATATATAGGTTGTTGCACCCGTTTTCCCAGGTACTTTGAGACTCCAGGACTCCAGGTATCGATTTAGATTTGGACCTTCACTTTGCCCCATAGTCACTGGATTCCCAGCGCCGGAGTCGGCATCCCTGGATGTTTGACGTGAGTCGACTGCGATTTTTTGACTACCAGGCTTTTGCACTACAAAGCCAGGTCAACCATTGATGGTCGAACGGAAGGCTGACATCAAACCTGAGGCCTGAGGCCTCTGTACCAAAAAACACTGCCCAAACAATCCCCTATCATCCCTTGGTGCACTGAAGGGTGAAAAAAGCACCGGCTTGAGCGGGGAAGTGCTTCCACGACCCTAGGTGGCGCAGGGCAGAGGCCAAGACCGTGACTTTCAAGGGGCTCAGGGATGGCTCAGGGGCTCAGGGTGCTGAATTTAGCACGGGAGATAGTAAACAAATGTAAGCACTTACTAAACAGTTTGCTTTTCGGTTGCTTTTGGACACACTCACTCTTCAAAGTATGCTCTCATGACGCAAGTCATACATGTCACCGATTTAGATTACCACTAGTCTCCGTTTCTGCCTCGCTTTTGTTCAACGAACACCACCAGGTGTGTGGAGTTGAGTTGAAGAATCTCGGTTCAATTCAGGAAGACTCGGCTTGTTCAGGGATCCAACCAAGGTTGAAGAACCATAGTTTGACTAGGTACCCCAGGTTACGGGTCCTATTTATGGTCACTGAACCTCTCTTGAGTTGGTTTGGTTGATCCACTGATCAAAATGATGAAAGGGATTATGTTCATCGAGTGGATTTGATGGCTCTATTTCCTTGTCTGCCACCTTGGTCAGGTACTTGGCTTGTGATGACCTTGACTACACACATCTGTTTCGCAAGGTTGTGGCTCATGGGTTTTTTAGAGTTGATCACCATGTGTCTCCTAATACCAACCGGGTCGTCAACGGCTCATCTGGATCCGGGTCGTCAACGGCTCCTGCCGATCCTGCCGGTTGCGACCGCTCCGAGGGGCTGAACAAATCCACCTGGGACCGAATCTCTGCCAGTTCGTGAAACAACTGCCTCAGCCGGACCCAACTGGCCGGTGGGCGGCGGATTTGTGGCTTGTGGCGGAGGTGGGCGCGGTGAGTTGGTGGCGGGCTTTTTCGCCGAGTCCGGTGCCAGATCGGTCCGGCACCGGTCGACACAAGAACACCAATCCTCTTGAAAGCGCCCCAGAACAACAGCAACTGGCCTCCAACCTACATAATAGCGACGGCCTCCATCCTAATAGCATGAGCAATGATCTAGCCAACATGACGTTACAATGAATTCATGTGAATTGTGCACCCATGGTGGTTGTTCCCAAAAAGGCTTGGCCTGTGATGTGACAGGCCTGTGGCGCCCCGACTTCAACGGGTTCGTTCAGCACCTAACTTCATGGAACTGCCGGAAGCAGCAAAGTCTTTTGAACCACCGCGTGCGAGTGTGAAGTGCACCACCGAGTTGGAACGAATCAGCTGGGAAACTCTTCATCAGAATGATCTGAAACACATCCTTGAAAAAAAACAACACATCTTCCCAACCAACCAGCTTTCATCTCTGATCCACATATACCTTCTGAGAGGGTTATTGGAGACACTTTTGCTTGGAGGGTCCAAACACCTCCTGAGAATGTACCTAGATCCTTCAAAGTACCCTAGAAAATGGGTACAGTCGAGTCGTACCTGCTTATCCTTCCAGTGATGTGCCAATTTCTATAAGGGTATTTGGAGGGCCCGGTACGGCCAGGTACTTGTTGCCCATGTTCTGAGCGACACACTCGCGGATGACTGACACCCTCCACCCTCTTGACTGCCCGGATGCAGGCTCGCCTCCCAGCGATGAGCCCTCTGACCTGGCGAGCTCCGACCGTTCCGCTCCAAGCAGTCCGACCGTGGGCACTCACCCCTGCCCCCTTCGAAACGGAGGTCGATTCCCCACGACCGGTGAGGAAACTCTCGAAACTGGGAAACCAAGGGAGATCCTGAAGAAAAGGACGATCAACGCGAGTCCTGGAGGGAGTCCTGGACCGGTTTTGGTGTTTTTATGTTTTTGGACGCAGGTGTGGATGATCAGAAAGGCAGTTGGCACAGTTTTCTGATGAGTTTTGAGGGACTACCCGAACACGTACGGCCAAAACAAACAAGTTGTTTCATGTTTCATGAAGAGTAAATGAACCCATCGTCATTCAGACGAGAACCCATCGTGTCGAAACACTTCCACCGTATGTCAGTCTCAGCTCTTCTCTCCACTTCGACCGTTCAATCACCAGATTCAAGTGGCTGGGCACCTTCTGTGGAGGCAGTTGGAGCCCTCAGGTAATAGATTTGTACTCAACAAAGGCTCCGACCTGACGTGCTCCACCACCACGCCAAAATTAACATAAATTCACTATAGCTAGATGCTTTCGGAGGGCTAGCGGCATGTTCTGTTCACACTTCGGACGATCCACAACTTCATTGGTGGAATCTCGAAACCCCGGGAGATCTATATGTCATTGGCATCAATCAAAAATGGAACAAGTGAACAAATGCCCCAAATTCCTGGTTGGTACTGGTACAGTATATGTATTGGTACCATAATATTTTGTCATTCTTGCTCGATCACATCGGATACTGGTCTGAACATCCACTGAAACGCTGCATCCGACCCATGCCAAACCATCGCATTCCGACAGGCGCTGATCGCCGCGTTGTGGGAGAAGAGGTTTGCAGATGGAGAGGCACGGAGGAGTTGAAGTGCTTCCTTCCTGAAGCACGCCACGGCCCCACGAAGCACAGCGCCGCATAGTGCCGAAGCCGAAGCGCGTCGAAGCAGGGTCGACTCCCTTCAAACCAGCTACAGTGAGGCTATCCTTCTGCCCACCAACCCGGGTTCAAGTGAATTCCAAAAGCTCTGCTATGAGAGGTCAAAGATCGAGCGTCTATTGGAGGATGCTACGTGGGATAGCCTATAGCAGCATCCTCCAACAGGTCTCCTCGTTCGAGGGTTCTTGGGCGGTAACAGGTCCCAATCAATTGGTGACCTGTGAAGACTGTGAAGTCGGATGTATATCCTTTGACTGCCTTGTACCTCTGTGAAGGGCCTCTCAGTCCTTTTTTTTGACATGATCCATTGTGACGTTCAACTTCGCACGGCCCGAGCGGCCAGCGGCTCTGCTGCGCTAGAGCCTTTAGCTTCAAGGTCAAGCGTTTCGAGATCTCCTCGGTCACCGTGAAATGAAGGGCCTGGGAAGGTCCTGAGAGAACCACCATACCTCCCTAGAGATTCATTTGAAGGTACTTGGACCCTCCAAAACATGAAAGTCTCAGATCCGGAGGCCTGAAAACTTGGTCCGGCTGTGATGCAAGCGGACGGAAAACACCATGAGATTTGGTGACCCACCGCATGTCCTCGCCAGCGTTGTACTGGTCCTTTTGTGGGCTTGTATTTCTTTTATTATGCTCATTTTGACAAGCATATACAAGCATATTACCAACTATACCCAACTGACATGTTCTAAACAGTACTTTGGAGGGTCCCGGTATATATGGATGGAAAGAACCATTCTCCAGGCCACTGAAGAAAGCACCGTTCTTCGCATGCATTTTGGCGGCACAGGCACCTTTCAATGTGCGTGCCTGGCGAAAGCTTAAGGCATTGCAAGCAGCAGAGTTGCAAGGGGGAATGTTACTGATCATGTGTGCAAGCTGGTAAAAGTAACTGTTTTATATATTCTATGTTCATAACTACATATATGTGTATTGTAAATACACATAAATAAACACAACATGTAATCAAATCCGTGTATCCTCATATCTAAAGTACTTCCAGTCTTCCAGTTTCATACCTGGCGCCTCACAGCTGATGGGCTCTCCTGACGTGAAATCAGAACCAAACGGAACCAACCGGAGCATGCAAGCACCGTCAAAAGTATGGAGCAAATCGGTGGTGGTCCTTTAGAAGTCCAAAGACTATATGTTTGCCCCATTTGGTGATGGGTCAACACCTCGAGCCCTGGTCCAGCATGTAGCAAACGACCTCCCAGGCAGGCAGGTCAGGTATCCTAGCTTTGACCCAGAGCCATGTATATAATTATAAAGGAAGTCCCTTTTCGGGTCACCTAAAAATCGTCTGGCGGACTTCACCCCCCAAAAAGGGTGTCACCTTACTATCTGTTGGGCTAAGAACCTGTCCGGCCCTACCTGGAGTCGACCCCTCAAAATGGGTATACAGTCACTAGCAGTTGTTCGTTGGGTCACGGCCACGGTCCGTCAGGCGTTGGGTCCGTCGTCGAGGTAGGGGCTTCAGTCGAGCCGACTCGCCAGGTCGTCTCAGGTCGTTCCTCTGGTCGCTGGAGTCTGGTCGCTGGAGTCCGATGAAGCTGTTTTTGTTGGTGTCATGTTATGTGAATGTTCCGAAACAATTCGTTTGTGGGTACAAAAGCCAAGATTCTAGCGACTAGAGCCAGGTTGTGAGTCAAAGGTAGTGGGTTTGCAAGATGGTTCCAGAGTGGAATCTGTTCTTCTACCAGCTCCACGTATCTCCACGTCTTCAAGGTTGCCAGGGTTCCCCCTGTCGTCTTCCCGTCTCCAGCTCCAGGCATGTCTCATGACGCGACATGTGAGCCAGTCTGAGTGATTTCAAACAATGATATCCTTGCGAGAATCGAGGGTCGATGCAAAGTACCGTGGAAAATATCAATTTACCAGAATTTACCATTGGGTGGCACACGACCGGGGGTAATCCCCTGGCCATCTGAATCTATTCCATTCTATTCCAATCTTGGCGAAAGGTGGAAGGCGATGCCAAAACGATTGGGTGGCATGTCGGGAATGTTCACCACATCCCAAGCAAGCCCGCATCCCATGTCACTTCAGTGAAGTAGGAGTGATTCTCAAATTTTCCTACCTCCAGTTGACCTGTTCGTACCGGGATCACCCTTAGGGATCGGTCCATCGCGGCGCCACCTCGGCGAGATCGTCACTTGGGTCAGGTCCGTCTCTAGGTCCGCTCATGTCCCACTTGTTCGTTCGGGTACGATCCGAGCCGGCGGGCTGCGGCCTCGTCCTGTCCAAACCATGTCGGACGGCATCGGTCCATCGCTGCGAACCACCCGGAGCCGAGCAACATGTGCATTCGCGGGAGCGAACGGTGCGTTGGGGTGAGCACAAAGACCGCACGGGCTGGTTGGATTCAACTCACTGGTCACTTGAAAATATCATGACTTTAGTAGGATCCGTCTTCCCAAGTACAGTTACAGGTTCAACCTCAAAAGGTATCTGAAACGATCTGAAACGTATCTGGAAAAAAGACAACAACAACGCGTCATAATTACAGAAAAACAAACAACACCCACCTCCCTGACACTGGGGCGGGAGGGTGGTTATCAGTGGGGTCGGTCCCGATTTCTTTTCTGAAGTGGGCCAGGAGGTTTAGGGTTTGTACCTGTGAACACGATTCCACCTGTTGGGGCACAGAAAAAAACGAGACGATATGGAGAATTGCAGGAAAAACCACGGAGCTATCTGGAAACCGATGGAAAAACGTGTTGAAGCGGAGGTTCAAGACCATACAGCAAAATCTTCCAATGCACGCTCAAACTTCCAGGTGATGCTGGCATTCCAAGTCCTGGAATGATCTTGGTCTTTACAGCGCAACAGGTTGATGGCTTGCTTGGAGGCTTGCGTAAGGGAGACACGAAAATGAGGTTTTGAAAAAACACAACAACCCTGGCCCTGGAGACTACTTGGGCTGCGTCAAAACATGCGCCCGTGTCATTTGGTGAAACACGTCGGATCGACCCGAAACCATGATCGGCTGGACCTGACCCTTCGGTGAAACAGGGTGAAACCGAATGGAGAACAGGAAGTCGCCTTCACCTGTGTGGGGTTGGGACCAGTGGGAGAAACCCCCAAAACACAGGGCAGGAAGAGGTCCTCCTGGAGTTTTTGGGGTGGTTGCAGCACATGCAAGCTGACATGTCTCCCTGGGATCATATACCTTCTCCGAAAAATGCTCCAAAGTCACACACAGAAGTGTCTCCAATCAACTTCTCAGAAGGTAAATGGATCGATAGGGTATTGAAAAAGCTTGGCACTCCTTGGGGGTTTCATCCCTTCACTGGTAGCAAAGATCCAGAGCATGTATGGCCTTCAACCATCGACCAAACACGAAGGCTGCCATTTCAGTTGAGGAGGGCCGCTTGTCTGAAACAAAACATCTGTTTCTCGAGCGAAATCGCATGCTCACCTCCTGAAGAAGGTACAATGGGTTCCTCCAAACCTATATGAAAGTGTCACACATGTCACGCAAAACAAAACAGAACACCCTCCCTCCCTGCAAAGGGTGGAGTGGATCCAACGGTTCCATAGGGTCGAGTTTCAAAAAACACACTCCAGCATCGCGATTGGGTTGGATGGCCTCCAACCCCTGCTGGCGATGGCCTCCAAGCTAATTCGGATGGCCTCCAACCCGCTAGCGATGGTACTTCAGCATTGGTATTGGATGGTTTTCAACGTTCACCTCCCTGCTGCACCGGAGAAAACAAACGGAAACATCAGAGCTTCCGCCTCAAGCATGAGCTGGCGATCCTCTGCGGCCGCCTTGATGGAAGGTTGGAGAGAACATCACCCAAAGGAAGAGAGGAAGGATGGGGATTGGATACAAATTAGTAAATAATGGATGATGAATGAATTGATAGAAGCTACATCGATATTGTTTGAAACCGGATGAAACCAGACCTACGCTTGATTTACGTCTATCTCTGCGGTAGTCTCAGGATGTCTCCATGAATCATAGTCTTACGTGATATATATAAATATATTATAATCAAACCTGGGTTGCTATACTGGCTATACTAATTACTAATTGTATATACTACAACAGTTGTCGGACTCCGTTGCAGGCCAACTTCAGCATTCTCAACCCATGGTGGTCATGACATGTGCGGAGTGCAACCATCTCTCACATCTGGAAACTCGTGCTGCAACGAAGGAAACTCCTTCGTTTGTGCAGGAAAGCATTGACATGTCTGTCCTCATCAGCATCCTCAAGGCCGTGACAAGCAGCCCGGGGCCCAGGAGGCTGGGGATCCTTTTGAACTTCCACCTTTTGTGGATCCACATACCTACCAGGGGATTCCAAAAACGGCCTTCGCACAACAAAAACATCTGTTCATACACCTTTCCAGGTAGAAGCTGATGCGTTCGACACTGTTAGGGACCTGCAAGGGACCTGTCAGGGACCTGTCGTACCGAACCTGAGAAGGTGGCAGGGGATCTCAAGGGGATGTTTTGATGGATGAGAAAGCTCTGGTCGCCTCCCCTCCAGGAGCTCTGGTCGACTCGATCGACACCCAAGAATCTACCAGCAGTTACACGTCGGAAGGCTTTTTCATCCCTACAGTACCCCAGACGCTCCATATATGCCGTATGCCATATATGCCTACATTGACCCCTCAAACCACTCCAATGTAGGCATATATATGTAATCCCCGTGGGAATTTACATAATAGTTACTTGTCCCCCCCAATTTTATAGCACTTAACCTGCATGGTTGGGGTTTGGGGGGTAGAGTTGCACTATAGAATGTAATTTTCAGCAGCGTGCATACACACATATACACACTGAAACTATAATTAAAATCAATACAATTATGGAAAAATCTGACATCCTTAGCTCACAGTACAGCCAAATGAAGTCACTATAGAATGGGGTGCACAGGTCCATAAAAAGGCTTGTACAGCCACAACAGATTTATAAAAACTGTGTGCCAGAGTTAGTCTACCCTGTGATTTTATAGTAATTTGTTGTTTAAACAGTCACCACAAAGAAATCGGAACGACGCCAAATGGATCAAAAACACAAATATAATGAATGCGTTTACACATATACCACTCTACAGTATATGTTAAACTTTCTCTAGAAGTGTCCACTTATTACTTCATAAAATCAATGTGTTTATAAAATCAATTTTGTATTTTTTTGTACTAGCTCACTTTGCTGTATAATTATACGTTTTTAAGTTGTCCATGTGGGTCCCTATACAATCTGAGGCAAAAAACGTGTGCTATAACATCAAAACCACATTTTACACTGGCAACTGGTTCCTTATAAAGTCAAATTCTCTTCTAGAAGTTTGTAAGAAACTGTTTCTTTTGGAAAACACAGTTCACTCTAAACACGTGATCTCAATTTTGACCAGCCAGTGATCCTCTCCCCCCCAAAAAAATCATCTTATGCAATTTTAGTGATCATGACTTTATACAGTAGTTCAACCCTGGGGAAGATGTTTAACTATATATAAACCTGCAGCACACACCTTTGATTTTCGGAAATTCAGAGCCGGGATTATATACAAAGAAGCTATTAGAAACAAGTGCCTTACTAGTAGTAACAGGTGCCTTACTAGTAGTAACAAGAAGCTATTAAACATGGAGCGGGTCGGTGAGTGGATGCTCCTTCGGCACCGCCCAGCGGGCGCTCGACCCTCCGTTCGGCACCGACGTCCTCCGATTCGGAGGGTGGGTACCGGGATCCACCCTAAGCAAGGAGAGTCGCCCCATGTAACACGACTTCGTTGACCTGTTTTTGTTCGTTCCTT